TTTTAGCTTTGGCTACACTTGCCCACTTGTGCGTTAGACCACTGGCAAACTAACCAATATTCTACAATATCTAAGTGTGTAAAAATGTCTTAAAATAATTCTCGGACTTTGTCCATTTCATAATGTATGACGTCATTTGTTTTCTATAAACAGAACGTATCAACATAAAATGTCTTAAAATCTAAGTGTATGTTAGTGTAGACAGCTAGGTAGGTTTTATTAACGTGGACAAACACGTACGAACGCATACATATATATCCAAAATCATTCCAAATCTGTAAAAACACTCAACAAACTTTGATATATGGGCGAGTTAAATACCAATAATTCCGAATTAGCTCTTTTTCATTTGACAAAGTTACTTCTTGATAGTTTTTTTCACGTTTTCGTTAATTTCCGTGAATTTCCGTCGAATTAGACATTGACCGTGTGTCTATTAGGATGTAGGTCAGCTCATCGGTCTCCCCCTCCCTCCTCATACCCAGCCTCTCCTACCTCCTTAATATGATTCCAATAACGGCAGCTTCTTCTACTTTTCTGATCTCCAAATAGGTCCGCGATAACACTCTCTCTCTCTTTCTTTCTTTCTCCAAATAAACAGTGCACTACAAATTGATACCATAGACAATTTGAAAAAATCTTTGCGAATTTTAAAATTAAAATTGGTGGGTGAAATGGTCATTTACTAAAGATATCTTAATTCTAATTGTAAAAAAGTATATATATATATATATATATATATATATATATATATATATATATATATATATATATATATATATATATATATTATAAAAGATATATTATAAAAGATATTAGATACAAGTACTGGTCCGTATTCATCTTTATAATAAATATTTATGCTCTACTCTTGAATTTAAATTATTACTATGAAAGTTTGAATTTATATCCCTCCTTCTGATTACATTTATATATATATATATATATATATATATAAAAAATTAATTGATTTAAATACGTTTTTCAAAACTTACTGTTCTTTCTGTATATGTATATATATATATATATATATATATATATATATATATATATATTATAAAATTAATTGATATAAATATGGTTTCTTCGTTACACAGTAATAACCATGTTTTTAAAAATTGTAAATTTACATTGAGCACTATTTTGTAAAAACAAATATCAATAAGAACACTCATTATATATCTTACTGTTCTTTATATATATATATATATATATATATATATATATATATATATATATATATGTGTGTGTGTGTGTGTGTGTGTGTGTGTGTGTGTGTGTGTGTGTGCAAAAATTCAGTTGTAAATAAAATGTAACACTAAAAAGACATGCTTAAAGACAAAATGGTGGAATTTATGAGGCAAATGTCATATTCTTGGTGCTACTAAGACGCAAGAGGCTACTAGAAGTTAAACCTGATCCTAAACAGGGAACAACGAATAAACATCTACTCCTGTTCGAACGACCGCGAAGGTGTGTGAACCGGGCGATATGCGAATCTGTCTACTCTAATTGTATAGAAAAATATTTAATGAATAAAATTTCAGAAATCGCTAAAAGTATAGAATTGCAATAAGCAACAAATGGTACCTGAACCCCAGTCCTAAATCGGAAAGGCATGGAAGAATATTCATGCTCAAAAGACTGCCTAGGAGAGTGAACCGGGCGATAGAAGAACCTATCTACTTGTATTAAACAACACGTATTTATAGCTAAAAGCAAAAAAAAATGCTAGTTTTTCAAAATCTTTTTTTTTAAAATTCAACAACGTTCATAAATATACATTAGAACCTGAAAAGTCTCGGTAAACTATAAAAGATGCTAAGTGATGTAATTTAATGTCTAATAAATAAAAGTGGAAAAAAAATCATTTACTCACTTTCGTGAAAGAAAACATGAAAGAAAAAAAATAGAGACATAAAAAATACCATCACGATTTCAACATTTTTGTGAAAGTTAATGTAAACTATGGAGGATGCTAAGTGATGTAATTTAATGCCTAATAAAAGAAATTCAATAATTATTTTGTTGTTGAGTTTTTTTTTTTAATTTTACAGTTGATTCTTGGATAGAAAAGTGACTGGTAAATCATGCCAGCGTATTGCAACGAGATTTTTTTTTAATTTTATAGTTGTTTCTGGATAGAAAATTGACTAGTAAATCTTGCCAGCGTATTGCAACGTCTCTGCAGACATTTTGTTTAACCATTTCACCCCAAGGCGGGAAAGCTACTACTAAACAGAGGGGTGACAGAGAGTGAAACAAAAAACTGGGTATAAGAGGGGGGGTCAAGGAAGGGATAAAAGATGAAAAGGAATGCCGTGAGTAAGCAGGGGGTCACAGAGAGTGAAAGTGAGGAAAACGACTGGGTATAGTAAGGGGGGTCGAGGAAAGGCTATAAATGCATGGGGTTACCTCTATTACACAGGGGCTCAAAGGGAGTGAAATTGAGAGAAAAGGCTGGGTATAGGGGGTCGAGAAAAAGGATAAAAGATAAAGAGGTATTCAATGAAAAAGGGGGTTTGCATAAAAAGTGAAATTGTGAGAAATGACTGAGTATATGGGGGAATGACGAAAGGAAAAATCTACGGTTTCAAGCAGACAGATGATGGTGATTGACGTTGCATTTAAATATTTTAAGTTTGTATGTACAAGGGAAGCAAATAAACGGAAGGTAGCTCCACAGGTGGGAAGTGCGAGAAAAGAAATAATTGAAGTAGAATTGTGGGTTATATTTAACTTATCTAGCAGGAAATCTGTGTGACCTAGATGGGAAAATTCTTAAATTCATGTATTTGGGGCCTCAGGGAAAAAAAAAGCTCGTCAGAACAGTGGCCATGAAAATATTTGTAGAAAAGACAGAGGGAAGCCACTTCACATCGGTAAGAAAGTGTCTGAAGTTGAGATGCCAGGTCAGGATCGATTAAATTGCAGATCCTTCTTTAATTGAATGAGGCATTTCGAATTACGAACGAGAAAAATAAACTTAAAATAAGACTAGAAGTTTTAATATTAGGCCAATTGTTGACCATGTTCACCATAGTCTATGAATATAGAATACAGCGCAGTACGTAATCTGTTCAATGAAACAACGTTAAAGATTAACACTTACGAGTCAGACACTCTACTGAATCTGACTATATCACCAATACCACCAGCAGCTGTTCAGTAATTCTTCAGGCTTCGATATCAAAGGCTGGCAGTGCATATTCGGGAAAAACATGGCCGCCTTTATACACGTCGCATTGAATATTTTGAGCCTTCTGATTGGTTAACCCTTCTATTGGTGAATTATAAAATGAGTCAGCTCATTTTGGTTGGCTCACAAGTACACCAGAGTACCCAAAAATTCCAACACCAATGTTTAAGTAATGTATATAGAAATAGGAAAGCAATTAGTTGCAGAGAGAGAAACGGATGTTGAACTGCTAATATCAACAAAGAATTCCTAAAATAATGGTTGAACAACAATCCCTACACGAAGAGAATAAAAGAAGTGGTTTTATTGAAGGATGAGGAAAATACTAGAAATAAATAAAAAAAACGATAAAAATTCAAAAAAAGAAAAAAGAAACTTAAAAAAAAAAAAGAAAATGAGAAGAAAAAAGAGATGGAAAGGAAGGATGAAAATTTTAAAAGGCAAGAAAGGAAAACAAAAGAAAAAGAAAAAAAATAATTTTAAGAAAGAAAAAAAGAAAAAAAAAATTTCTTTGAAAAGAAAGAAAGAAAGAAAAAAGAAACTGAAAAATAAATTAAAAGAAAATTAAAACAAGAAAAGATGGAAAGAAAGGATTAGAAAAAAGGTATATTCAATTTCGTCAACAAACAAATTTTAAAGAAAAAAAAAAAGAAAGAAAAAAAGAAAGAAAAAAAAAAAAAATCAAAAAAAAAAGAAAAAAAAAGAAAAAGTCACCGAAAGAAAAAAGAAAATGAGAAGCAAGGAAAGAGATGGAAAGAAGGATGAAAAAAAAAAAATTAAGAAAGAAAACAAAAAAAAATTAAAAAAAAAAAAAAATAAAAAAAGAAAGAAAAAAAAAACAAACAAGAAAAGAAATTGAAAAAAGAAACTGAAAAAAGTTCAAAATAAAATGAAAAGAAGGAAAGAGGAAAAAAAGGATGAAAGAAAGAAATATGTTTAAAAAGAAAAAAAAAAAAAAAAAAAAAAAAAAAAGAAAAAGAAAGAAAGAAAAAAAAAGAACAAAGAAAATGAAAGAAAAAAGAAAACTGAAAAGTAAAAAAAAAAAATTAAAAAAAAAAAAGATGAAAAGAAAGGAAAAGAAAAAAAAGTAAAATTTTAAATTGAAAGAAAAAAAAAAAAAATTTAAAAAAAGAAAAAAAAAAAAAAAAAACAAGAAAACTAAAGAAAAGGAAAGAAAGAAAAAAAGAAAAAAAAAAAATGGAAAAAAAAACTTCAAAAGAAATGGAAAAAAATGAAAAATGAAAAAAAAAAAAAGGAAAATGAAAAAAAAAAGAAAGTTCACAAAAAAAAAAAAAAAAAAAAAGAAAGAAAGAAAGGAAAAAAAAACAAATTTTCGGTAAAAAGATTAAAGATGAAAAGTAAAAAAAAAAATCTCTTATAAATGAAAAAAAAATGAAAAGGAAAAAGAAAAGAAAAAGGAAAATCAAAAAAAAGAAAGAAAAAGAAAAAAGAAAGAAAAAAGAAAGAAAGAAATTGCTAAAATGTATGTTTTTAAGAAAAAAAAAAAAAAAAAGAGAATGGAAAATAAAGATGAAAGAAAAAAAAAAAAAAAGAAAAAAAAAAGAAAGAAAGAAAGAAAGAAAAAAAGAAAGAAAAAAAATTGTTTTGAAAAAAAAAAAGAAAGAAAAGAAAAAAAAGAAAAAAAAAAAAAAAAAGAAAGAAAAAAAAGAAAAAAAAAATAAAAAAAAAAAGAAAAAAGATTTTAAGAAGCAAAGAAAGAAGAAAGAAAAAAAAGAAAGAAAGAAAGAAAATTTAAAAGATTCTTTTCCAAAGAAAAAAGAAAAAAAGAAAGAAAAGATTTTTAAGAAAGAAAGAAAAACGAAAAGAAATTCAAAAGAAAGAAACTGAAATTTTTGTAATTTGTCCTAATTTTATAAAAAGAAAAAGAAACCAAGAAAAGAAAAAAAGGAAAAAGAAAAGAAAGAAAAGAAAGAAAAAAAAAGAAAGAAAGAAAGAAAAAACGAACAAGAAAGAAAGAAAGAAAGAAAGAAAGAAAGAAAGAAACTGAAAAGTAAGTAAAAGAAAATGAGAAACAAGAAAAGAGATGGAAAGAAAGGATGAAAGAAAGAAAAAGGCAAGAAAAGGAAAACAAAAGAAAGAAAGAAAAAAAAAAGAAAAAAGAAAAGAAAGAAAAGAAAAAAAACAAGAGAAGAAAGAAAAAAAGAAAGAAAGAAAGAAGGAAAGAAACTGAAAAGTAAGTAAAAGAAAATGAGAAGCAAGGAAAGAGATGGAAAGAAAGGATGAAAGAAAGAAAAAGGCAAGAAAGGAAAACAAAGAAAGAAAGAAAAAAGAAAGAAAGAAAAAGAAAGAAAGAAAGAAAAAACGAACAAGAAAGAAAGAAAAAGAAACTGAAAAGTAAGTAAAAGAAAATGAGAAAAGTTATTCAAAGAAAGAAAAATGTTTCAAAAGAAAGAAAAGGCAAAGAAAGGAAAAAAAAAAGAAAGAAAAAAAAAAAGAAAAAAATAAAAAAAAGAAAAGAAAAAAAACGAACAAGAAAGAAAGAAAGAAACTGAAAAGTAAGTAAAAGAAAATGAAAAGCAAGAAAAGAGATGGAAAGAAAGGATGAAAGAAAGAAAAAGGGAAGAATGGAAAACAAAGAAAGAAAGAAAGAAACTGAAAAAGAGTAAAAAAAAAATTCAAAAAGAAAAAAATGGAAAGAAAAGGATGAAAGAAAGAAAAAGCAAGAACGGAAAAAAAGAAAAAAAGAAAGAAAGAAATAAAGAAATAAAGAAAGCAAAGAAAAAAATTGAAAAAAAAAAAAATTTTTTTAAAAACAAGAAAAGAGATGGAAAGAAAGGATGAAAGAAAGAAAAAGGCAAGAACGGAAAAGAAAGAAAGAAAGAAAGAAACTGAAAAGTAAGTAAAAGAAAAAATGAGAAAAGAAAAAAAGATCAAAAAAGGATGAAAAAACAAAAAAAAAGGAAGAATGGAAAACAAAAAGAAAGAAAAAAAAGAAACTGAAAAATTAAGTAAAAAAAAAATTAAAAAAGAAAAAGAAAAAAGATGGAAAAAAAAGGAAAAAAAAAAAAAAAAGGCAAGAAAAAAAAAGAAAAAAAGCCCAACATGCAAGAAAAAAAAAAAAAAACTGAAAAAGCAAAAAAAAGCAAAAAAAGTGAGAAACAAAAAAAAGAAATAGAAAGGATGAAAAAAATTTTTAGGCAACAAAAAATTAAAAGAAAAAAATGAAAAGAAAATGGGAATACAAAAGAAAGAAAGAAAAGAAAAAAAAAAGAAAAAAAAAAAAAAAAGTGTCTTTCCATAGTTTTGTAATGTTGTCTGGGGTAAAAATTGAAAAAACTAGAACGGTAACTTACAAAATATAAAGGTTTATATTGAACCAGAATAATACAAATAGATATTTACAAGTTCATCTGAAACTGGAAAGAAAAGGAATTTACCCGCCCTCCCAATGAGGCTACATGTGAAAAACAGAAACTAAAGTGCGATCCGGAACCCGTAAGCTCAGGAAAATTTCCCCGAAGACCCCAAATTAAGAAAAAAAAAATTCCATCTACCCAGACGAAACTCTGCCCTTTTGGCATAGAGTCGTTTGGGTTCATCTCTGCCCCAAATTTTGTAGTTCGACGTCTAGATGCTTTCCTCAAACCTAAAAAAAAAGAAATTTACCAACCTCACCAAATGGAAATGGCACAAGAAATGAAAAAAATTAAAGACGATAAATGAATAAATAGGCTCCAAAATTTACCTACCCAGATAGAACTCTGAAAAAAATGATGGGCTCGAATGAAAAAAAGATACAAAAATATCTGCCCGAAACAGAAAGTTCGACGTTTTGCTTGGAGACAGCTGGAAAGAAAAGCTGATCTGAAAAAATATGGATTAAGATGAAATAATATTCCTACTGAAACAGGCCATTTAATACAGATGTATCAGTTCTTTGTATATTGTGGGTTATCAGTTTATTTCTTCCAACACAGATGAAGGAAGAGAAGCTTAAAAGAATAAATGCAACGAGTCGAATAGAAATAATAAAGAAAGAAAAATCGATTTGCAATTGATGGAAGACAGGCTGAAAGCAAAGAAAACCCACTGAATTGTAAATGAAATAAATAAATAAACAGAGAATTAAAAACGTATAAATATTGTTACTAATTGTAACAAAATAAATTAAAAATCAAATTTATTAATTAAGTGAGAAAAAATAACAAGTAATTAAAATTGTAAATAAAGGAATTATTTTGAAAGACTTAAATATACACAAGCAAATCGCGAAAATTTCTTTAATTTGAATGACTAATGTTTATCCTGTGGGCTTTTACTATTTTGATACTCTGTATTGATGTAAACATGAAAGGCCGTTTTCGATGGCAGGGTGAACTGACACTGCTTCAAATTCGTAAATTCGGAGGCACGTACAGCAAGTTTTAGACAAAACCAAAATGGCGTCTAAGATGATGAATGTGAATAGGAATTCAAGATGGCGGAAGGTAGATAATGTCAAAACATTGTAGATAAGTCGAGCAAGAATGAAGGTAATTGAATATGATAAAGACGACGATAATAAGTTTAGAGGTTTTGGAATCGTTTCTGTAGTGAATGTGATAATTAATATCGTGTTTCTTTGTCCATGAGTTAAAAAAGAAAATGACGTCACCAAAAAGATTTGGGATACAAAAGAATTAAAAAAAAGCAGAAACGAATAAATGAAAGTAAGAAGACAGAAAAATTAATGGAAGGTAAACAGAAAAATGGTGAAAAGATTCTAAAGAAAGAAAGAAAGAAAGAAAGAAAGAAAGAAAGAAAGAAAAGGGAAAGGGGAAAACCAAAGGAAAAGATGGTGACGTTTATAGGAAGAAAGACGGAAAAGAAAGAAGACAATAAGTTGAAAAGAAAGAAAGAAACAAAGAAAGAAATAAAGAAACAAAGAAGGAAAAATGAAAGAAACAAAGAAGGAAAGGAAAAAAGAAAAAAATACGAAAGAAAGGAAGGGGAAAACCAAAGAAAAAAAAAACATGATGACAGTTATCTGAAGAGAGGCGAAAAAGAAAGAAGACAATAAGTTGAAAAGAAAGAAAGAAAGAAAGAAAGAAAGAAAGAAAGAAAAGGGAAAGGGGAAAACCAAAGGAAAAGATGGTGACGTTTATAGGAAGAAAGACGGAAGAGAAAGAAGACAATAAGTTGAAAAGAAAGAAAGAAAGAAAGAAAGAAAGAAAGAAAGAAAGAAAGAAAAGGGAAAGGGGAAAACCAAAGGAAAAGATGGTGACGTTTATAGGAAGAAAGACGGAAAAGAAAGAAGACAATAAGTTGAAAAGAAAGAAAGAAACAAAGAAAGAAACAAAGAAACAAAGAAGGAAAAATGAAAGAAACAAAGAAGGAAAGGAAAAAAGAAAAAAAATACGAAAGAAAGGAAGGGGAAAACCAAAGAAAAAAAAAACAAGATGACAGTTATCTGAAGAGAGGCGAAAAAGAAAGAAGACAATAAGTTGAAAAGAAAGAAAGAAAGAAAGAAAGAAAGAAAGAAAAAAGAAAAAGGAAAGGGGAAAACCAAAGGAAAAAGACGGTGACGTTTATAGGAAGAAAGACGGAAAAAGAAAAAAGAGACAATAAGTTGAAAAGAAAAAAAACAAACAAAGAAAAAAAAAGAAACAAAGAAGGAAAAATGAAAGAAACAAAGAAGGAAAAGGAAAAAAAAAAAAATACGAAAGAAAGGAAGGAGAAACCAAAGAAAAAAAAAAATGATGACAAAGTTATCTGAAGAGAGGCGAAAAAGAAAGAAGACAATAAGTTGAAAAAGAAAGAAAGAAAGAAAGAAAGAAAGAAAGAAAGAAAGAAAAGGGAAAGGGGAAAACCAAAGGAAAAGATGGTGACGTTTATAGGAAGAAAGACGGAAAAGAAAGAAGACAATAAGTTGAAAAGAAAGAAAGAAACAAAGAAAGAAACAAAGAAACAAAGAAGGAAAAATGAAAGAAACAAAGAAGGAAAGGAAAAAAGAAAAAAAATACGAAAGAAAGGAAGGGGAAAACCAAAGAAAAAAAAAACATGATGACAGTTATCTGAAGAGAGGCGAAAAAGAAAGAAGACAAGTTGAGAAGGAAAGAAAGAAAGAAAGGAAGAAAGAAAGAAAGAAAGAAAAGGAAAAAAAACAAAGATGGCGGTTATAGGAAGGCAGTAGAGAAAGAAAGCACCAAGTTAAACACGAAAGACAGAAGTAAACAATGAAAGAACGAAATAAAGAAAGAGAAAAAAAATGGAAGAGAAGTTACAAAATAAAAGGGTGGTGATCAGTTAACTTGCAAAGAAAAAGACGTTAAAAGAGAAAGAAAGAAAGAAAGAAAAAAAGAAAGAAAGAAAGAATAAAAAAATCCCACAAAGCAAGACAAAAGCAAAGAAGGGAGCGATAATGTTGCATGAAGTGAACTTCAAAAAATACACCAATTCCACTGAGAAAAAAAAATGCAAAAAATAAAACATCTATATCTTCATAATACACTATTTATATAAAAGAAACTATTTACAATACAAAGAATGGTAAAGAAAATGGCTGATGCTAACCTCCAGAAAAATGTTTAATTAATGCTTCTTTTCCTAATTCGCCCACAGTTAGCAACTCCTTGCGTCTTAGTGGCTTTACTGCCTCACTTGTAGGCCTCGATTCCGGCTCCATGCATTCCAACCAACTTTAATCTGCAAAAAAGTATATTCAATATCAATCGCTATATACTGTCATCCTGATTACTCTTTAATCTTTCCGATCATTATTAATGTTTCTGTTACTAATACTTCCACACCTAGTAACCCCTTGTGTCTTAGTGGCTTTACTACCTTCCTTTTGAAACTCGCTTCCAGCTCCACGCATTCCAGCTCCATGCATTCCAGTCAACTTTAATCTGCGAAAATTTAAATGCAATGTCAATTGCTATCTACTATCCGCTTGACTACTCTTTCCTCATCCTGCTCATTATTAACGTTTCTGTTCCTAACTCTTGCGCACCTAGTAACCCTTTGTGTCTTAGTGGCTTTATTACCTTCCTTGTGGAACTCTCTACAGATTCCATGCTTTTCTGAAAATTTAATCTGCAAAACCTTAAATGTAATGTCCGTCGCTATTTAGTGTCCACCTGCTTACTCTCTTTATCTACTTCTGTTTTTTTAACTCTTGGACACTCCTCTTGATGTAGGGCCTTTTCTGCCTTTCACAGAGTGTTACCGATTTAAAAAAATCGGAAATTCAAAATGCCATCATTTGAGATGGTTAGATGTAACCGTAAATTCTATTCTAACAGCTTCTTTTTCTCGAACTTCTCGCTTGTGGAACACCCCTCCGTCTCCGTACTCTGCAAAAATTTAAACGCAATGTCAATCGCTATCTACAGTCTAGCGGATTACTCTCTTTCCTTTCTTGTCATCATTAATGTTTCTGTGTTCTAATTCTTCCACACCCTGTAAAATCCCTGTTTTTAAAGGCATTACTGTTTTGCTTGAGATGATTCCGATTAAAAAAAAAATACGAAAATTCTAATCAGAATAAAAGCAACATTCAAAGACAAAAAATGATCGTGTGGTCTTTTCATCGACCAACGAAAGGAAGAAGAAGGAATCGTTGCAGACCATTTAGAACCAATCAGAAGAACACAAAATGGCGCAGAGGAATGGCCGCCCAAATTAGAAAGCATAAAAATGTTGCTTGAAATAAAATGGACGACAAGAAAAAGAGATGAAAGCCGATCGCTACTGAATAGCCAATGATCAGAAGTTGACCTTCGACATTTCGCTTTGTACACGCAAAGCATTTGTCGTGGGGGAAGATGTTCTGTGAACGCCCGTAAGATAAAGACCCCAAGACGAGTAGAATCGAATGGAAATCGTTGCTTTAAAAAAAAAAGTGTCATTGATTAGATGCCGTTAAAGAAAGCGCGCAAGAAAGGACGAAAGAAACGGCGAATACGAATGACAACCTCCGATCTGGATTCGCAAATTCTTCGTTATGGCGTCTATTAACAACACTGATTTCATTGATCCAGTATCATCTTAGAATATTTTTTTTTTACCTTCTACCATTCGACCCTTTTGTACGGATTAGCTGATATTTTCCGGGCGACCAAACAAATATTTCAATTAAGAAAAATCTCTCCCTCCAAAGATAATCTTGTCTCTATTCTTTTTCATTCTATCATAGCCGATCGGACTCACAATGTATGGGTCTTCCTTAGAGAGGTTACGTGCTTTTGAGCGATTATTGGCTCTTAAACTAAACTCAGACCTCGTGGAACTCGTACATACGATAAAGATGCGGGAAAAATTGTTATGTTCCATGTCACTTTGTGATGTTCTTTAGGTTTACAAGACAGATCAAGACTAAAATGGAATACTGTTGTCAGATTTAGAGAAGAGCTGCTCAGCCATCATTTTCCAATTTCGATGGAGTCCAAAAGCATTTTCGCGTCCTTGTGGGTGGCAAATTATCTTTCACCTTGTAACCACTCTCTCACAGATGAAGTGTCGCAAGCCTCTTACTTCTCCAAAGATAAGCTTGTCTCTATTCGTTTCACACTCTACAATCGCCGATCAGACTCAGTCACCCTGAATGGGTGTTCCTCAGGGAGGCTACGTGCTTTTGAGCGATTATTGGGTCTTAAACTCAACCCAGACTTCAAGTGGAACTCGTACATACGATAAAGATGCAGGAAAATTTGTCAGTTCTCTGTCACTTTGTCCTTTAGGTTTACAAGAGCCAGATCAAGCCTAAAGCAGAATACTGTTGTCAGATTTGGACAAGAGCTGCCCAGCACTTGCTTTCCAGTCCTAATAGAGTCCAAAAGCATCTTAGCGTCCTTGTGGGTGACAAATTATCTTTCACCTTGCAACCCCTCTCTCACAAATGAAGTGTCGCAAGATTCTTACTGCCCCAAACATAAATCACGCTGAATGGGTGTTCCTCAGGGAGGATACGTGCCTTTGAGTAATTACTGGCTCTTAAACTCTACACAGACCTCAAGTAGAACTCGTATATGCGATAAAGATGTAGGAAAAATGGTTGGTTATCTGTCACCTCGTGGTGTTCTTTAGGTTTACAAGAGTCAGATCAGACCTAATACGGAATACTATGTCAAATTTGGAGAAGAGCTGCCCAGCCATCATTTTCCAATTTCGATGGAGTCCAAAAGCATTTTCACGTCCTTGTGGGTGACAAATTATCTTTCACCTTGCAACCACTCTCTCACAGATGAAGTGTCGCAAGCCGCTTACTTCTCCAAAGATAAGCTTGTCTCTATTTGTCTCACACTCTATAATCGCCGATCGGACTCAGTCACCCTGAATGGGTGTCCCTCAGGGAGGTTACGTGCTTTTGAGCGATTATTGGGCCTTAAACTCAACCCAGACCTCAAGTGGAACTCGCATATACGATAAAGATGCAGGAAAATTTGTCAGTTCCCTGTCACTTTGTCCTTTAGGTTTACAAGAGCCAGACCAGGCCTAAAACGGAATACTGTTGTCAGATTTGGACAACAGCTGCCCAGTCCCGATAGAGTCCAAAAGCATCTTCGCGTCCTTGTGGGTGACAAATTATCTTTAACCCTGCAACCCCTCTCTCACAGATGAAGTGTCGCAAGCCCCTACAGCTACTTCCATTGAAATCTCTCAGACGAATTATGTTCTTTAGTTAAACAATTTCTAACCTTCACTAGTTAGTACCCGCCAAGTATTCCATTAGTGAGATGCAAACCTCATTCGCGCAGCTTCTTCACACGAACCGCTGATCTGTAGAACCTGTGCCAAAGATTATGCTTTCCTGATCGCTTCAATCTAAACCTGTTCATATCTAGAGTTTAACCGTTACCTTCTCTACATAAACCCGATGTGCCTCTAACTCTGGATATTCTGGAGAAATAATGAAAAATATTCTGGGAGTGAAATTCTTCCGTTGTATTCCATGATTCTCGAACTCGCAGCTAAGGTCTACCATGTCACCTACACCGGGAAGAATCATCTTCATTAACTCCATATTCCATTAGTAAGAAAGAAGTTACTCTCAGACAGCTTCTTTCCAAGAACTGCTACTTTGAGGAACAGGCTCCTGAGATTATACTTTCCCGATCTCTATAATCTTAACCTCTTCAAGCATTGCGTTAACCGTTATCTATCCTACCCGACCACATAAACTTCACTTCTTACTCCTTCTTGTTATACAGGGGCTTACGTTCTTAAACAACGGTGCTCGTACGAGTTAAGCAAAGTCGAGCCTGGTCAGTACCTAGATAGGTGACCGCTTGTGAACACCAACTGTCGTAAGCTTAGATGTGCGGACGATATGGATTATGGCCATGTCACGTTGAAACCCCAGTTCCGTATCATCACCGAAGTTAAGCAACGTCGAGCGTGGTCAGTACCTAGATGGGTGACCGCTTGTGAACACCAACTGTCGTAAGCTTAGATGTGCGGACGATATGGATTATGGCCATGTCACGTTGAAACCCCAGTTCCGTATGATCACCGAAGTTAAGCAACGTCGAGCGTGGTCAGCATCTAGATGGGTGACTGCTTGTGAACACCAAGTTCTGTAAGCTTGGGTGTGCGGATGATATGGATTATGGACATATTACATTGAAACACCATTTCCTGTACGATCACCGAAGTTAAGCAACGTCGAGATAGTACCTACATGGGTAACCACTTATGAACACCAACTGTAGATCATATGGATTATAGTCATATCATGTTGAAACACCAGTTTCCGTACGATCATCGAAGTTAAGCAACGTCAAGCCTGGTCAGTACCTACATGGGGAACTTCTTGTGAATTTCAAGTCCTGTAAGCTTGACTTTGCGGAGGATATGAATTATGACCATATCACATTAAAACATCGGTTTCTGTACGATCACCGATGTTAAGCAACATCGAGCCTGGTCAGTACCTAGATGGGTAACCGCTTGTGAACACCAATTGCTATAAGTTTGGATGCTCAGATGATAAGCATTATGACCATATCACGTTGAAACACCGGTTCCCGTACGATCACCGAAGTTAAGCAACGTCGAGCCTGGTCAGTACCTAGATGGGTGACCGCTTGTGAACACCAACTGCCGTAAGCTTAGATGTGCGGACGATATGGATTATGGCCATGTCACGTTGAAACCCCAGTTCCGTACGATCACCGAAGTTAAGCAACGTCAAGCCTGATCAGTACCTACATGGGGAACTTCAAGTCCTGAATTTCAAGAATTATGACCATATCACGTTGAAACACCGGTTCCCGTACGATCACCGAAGTTAAGCAACGTCGAGCCTGGTCAGTACCTAGATGGGTAACCGCTTGTGAACACCAAGGGCTGTAAACTTGGACGTGCGGATGATATGAATTACGGTCATATCTCGTTGAAACATCGGTTTCTGTAGGATCACCGAAGTTAAGCAACGTTGAGCCTGGTCAGAAACTAGATGGGTGACCGCTTGCGAATACCAAATGCTGTATTCTTGAATGTGAGGCTAGTGTAATGGATAACTGATTATCGGAGAGCCATGTTCCAGTTCCCGTTGAGTTCGTTGTAATAACTTAGACATAAATACCATTAGGAAAGGAATAAATCCACCCCACAGCTATGGGTTAATTATAGTAGATATTTAGAGATTCTTGATAAAATTCAATGAAGAATATATCATGATATTGGTCCTGACCTGGCATCTCGGCTTCAGTCATTTTCCATCCGCTGTAAACTTGGATGTGCTAGTGTTCTAATGGATAATGGATCAGATAATCTGAAAGCCGAGTCCCAATTCTCCTTTAATAGCAAATACATTTGGGAAAGTCATAAATCCAAACGTTCTCCCCCAGCTATGGGTTAATTAGTAAAACGTGTATCACTAAAACAGTATTATCTTTTTGTCTTGAGTTGTATATTTGTAAAACACAATGCTCAGTTTTCAAAAAGATTTTTGATCTGGCGAGAGAGGACCGATATTTCTTCATCGTAGACACCATGAGATTTTAATAGGCACTTGAAAATTATTAAGAAGAAAATCTATTATTTTTTTTTTCAAACAAAATTCTATCAAGCATTTTCCTGTGATTTCGTTATTTTAAAAGGCCATAGGGTGTAATAAGTTCGAGTCTGACAAATTTTAAGACACCTGTTTTTTGGGGTTTTTTTTGCTTCCATAATCGGTCTCCATATTGAAAGGCCACTGCGAGATAATGACTTAAAAGACTGTCAAAATTCCCAGCATGAGTTGCATTTGACCTACTTTTATTTTCAGCAAATTAAATTTTAGGTTGACCCTTTAGCTTTCAATATCACTTGCTTTCAGATAACATCTACTTCTTGTTTCGTATAGCTCTACGAATGTGAACATCATTGAACATCGTGGTAGAAAAGACAGACGAATGCTTTCGCCATATTGCACCTTAAGATGGAATAATGATTGCGAACTGGCCAAAACGGAAAACCAGTTCACACTGAAATCCATCGCACAAGTGGGATTCTTTATAAAGTGATCCGCAATCGAAGACCCATACGTGTTACGAATGGTATCGCCCAAAGAAAATTTTTTATTCAATATTATAGCAGGTACGTGTTGTTTAATTCTAACGTCCAACCGCTGTGTCGTTCTACCTATGTAATCGCATCCACAACTACATTTGAAATGGTAAATAACAGAATTAATATGGTGGGGTTGGGTAGAACTAGTTTACATATAGATGAAAGTACGGACTTAGTTTGAAAGACAACACGGACGTCCGCTGCAAAATAACACTCACGTGAACTACATGAAATACGCTTGGCGAAGGATTCACTAATCCTACCAAACCACGGTAAACGATGATAGACCGGGCATTTACCCACTGAAGCAGGTTTGATTTTGTTGAACCTGGCAGTCTCATCTCGAATAACCGATTGAACAATGTTCAACGGATAACCATTGTTCACAAAGATCTCAGTTAAACAACTGATTTCATGTTTCAAGGTGTCACCCGAACAAATCATTAACGCCCTATGTGTCAGGGTCCTAATCAAATTTATCTTTTGTCGTTTAGTGTGAACTGGTTTTCCGTCTTGGCCAGTTCGCACTCATTATTGCATCTTAAGGTGTTGGAGTCGCTTTACATCAGGTCCGGGCAGCCTGCTCTTTGCAAACAAATAGATTGTTTGCTTGGACTTGCTGTGCTGCGCATCTTGGTTGGTATAAATTTTTATAATTTTTTTTTCTCCCTGTCCACTCATTCATGCCATCCATGACAGACTTTTTCTTTTTCTTTTCCTCATAATCTTAATTCCCCGTTAACAGATCTGACGAGAGGGGACGAAACGGTCGACTGGTGTGTGTTTTGTTTTAAACTTATCATGGCCTACAATATAAAATTTTGTGTTTTTAATGCCTTAATACGCTTTTTTTATACCGTTTCAAAATATATTTAAATATATATATATATATATATATATATATATATATATATATACTTTTCTTGAAAACAACAGAAAAAAATCCGTTTTAATTAGCTATTTACACAATTTATCATGCGATCTAATAATTTTTTTCTTTTCAGATGATAAATTATATAAAACCTGACCGAATGCTTTTTTTATCCGAGCGATTTCGGCTATACATTTAGCCATTTTCTAGGATTTTATTTTAACTGTTAAAATAAGAAATAGTTTGTTGTATGTATATTTTATAAAATGTTTTCATTTTTTGGTTTCAAAACACGGTCAAGATATTATGTCCATGTTCAAAGTTAATATTATTAAGCGTTGGTTTGCCTTTTTTTTATTAATAAGGCTTCCATTATTTTTAGCCTTTTTTGCATGCAAATTATGCTATTATATTAGTGTTGTCAACAAGTATGTTACGAATAGTGTCCGGTAGGTCTCCATGAACATTTAAATTTAAAACCTCTAACCTTATAGTTAAAAATAATAATTCACCTGCTGGAACAAAATTAAATAGGGCAAATATTTACGAATTTAAATGACCATTAAGGAATTGCATTCCTGATCAATCAAAATTTGTATATAGTTATATAGACCACACTACAACATGTTTGACGCGAAGACTCACTCTACACCTTTCTGACAATAGCTCATTTAGATCTCATTTAAATATTCACACACACACACCACACACACACACACACACACACATATATATATATATATATATATATATATATATATATATATATATATATATATATATATGAAAATATATAGAAAATAGGAAGGAACTGGTTAGGTAAATAATCCAAAGTCCCTTAGTATTTTAGTTATTATTTTTTTAAAAATAGTGCTCGATATAAAAGTAGAGCATAAATATAATTATTTATTTAAAAATATGATTCCAAAACGCTACATAAGAAGTCCCATGTTTCAAAACAAGAGCCGAAAACTTCAATATAATTATTTAAATTAAATTGAGTTAAAATAAGCTCTATTCCATTTTCATAACATATTTTTTTTATAAATTTTTAAATAAATAATTATTTATATATATATATATATATATATATATATATATATATATATATATATATATATATAGTTCAAATGCAACACAATTTACACCTATTTATATGATATATATAAAATGGACAATATTCAATGTCCAAAAACATGTTATATTTACGTAAAATGTCCCTGATATTAAAATTTTTAGAGACATAGCATATAAATTATACCATATAAAATATTATTTATATATATATATATATATATATATATATATATATATATATATATTAGATGAAAGAGAGAGAGAGATATATCTTAAAAGCAGTTCTGGATCTGCAAAATTATTTTTTTATCCCTTTTCTATCTTATTTATTACCTGTATAAAATATTCTCAGACAAAGAGGTTTCAAAAACAAAACAAAAATAATAACATCGGATTAACTCAATCAGATTTTCTCTCGTTAACAAAAATGAGATTACGTATAATCGCGTGAGATTAAACGAGATTTTTTTTTTTTACCGGAAATGCTAAAATGAACTTTAAACAACGTGTTTATATCATTTCGTTAGAAGTATTCTTTATTTCTCTCTTGTTTGATGATAAATATTCGTGACGTAAATCTAATAAAACGCAATGTTTATTTTTTTATGTTTGTTTTCGATCCATATGAAATTTTTCTTTTTTTTTTTGTTTTTTGAACTTTAAAATCTGCTATTCCAAACTTCATGTCCAATTATATATATCAGGTTTACATAATCTTGGCAGATAAGGAATAAACACTGAAAATAGCTTTTTTGTATCGATCAAACTTATCATCCGTTTATTTCATATTATTTAATAATCCTGTATTCAGACAGCAAAGCTTCATTCAAAAAAATCCATCCAAATTCATAAATAATTATATTGGATATACTACAACATGCCTATCAAGAAGACTCACGTTACATCTGTCTGACCATAGCTCAATTAGGTCCCATTTAAATACATATGCAGATCTACAAAACTCTATCCGTAACATACTCGTTGATAATACAAATATATTAGCATTATTCATAATTTAAAAAAAGCCGAAATATAATGGAAACATCTTTATCATTTTTTTTTTAAGAAAAATAGATTGAGATGTAATACTTTTAATATATATAAAAATTTTAACACGGCAGAAATGACTGACCGTTTTGTTTAAAAAAAAAAATTCATCTAACTAGATACATGTTAACCAATCCATAAATTCATATAAATATAAAATATATAATATATATATATTTATATAAAAAATAAAAACATATATTGACTAAAAAAATATTGGCATTGATATAAAAAACGTTTGGGCAATTCTACCTAATTTAAAAGAAAAAAGAACATTGCAAAAACACATGAAAAATTAAATTAAATCTTAGCCGTAGTACCTTGTTAGTCGTTTTTTTTAACTTGTAAAAAAAAGATTTCTAACACACACACACACACACACACACACATATATATATAATATATATAATTATAAAATTTTATGTGTATGTGTGTGTCTTCGTAACATGTTTTCTCATATGTGTTTGTGTGTGTGTGTGTGTGTGTGTGTTTATCTTAACGTTGTTGCCAACATATTTACACATTTTTATCCGATTTTGATGAAATTTGTTTTTTTTTTTTTAAAGATAATTCTTCAGTTTATATATTTTGACTTTAATTGTTTCTTTTTTTAAAAAAGTCTTCCATTACTTCCTGTCCATTTATTTCACTTTCAGCAACGTCTTGCTATTTACTATCTGTTGATGGATATATACCTTCCAAAATAAAAACTTTAATAAAATAAATAACGAATAAAAAAATATTATTTTTAATATTATACAGTTCTCTTTTTCAGGGCCGTTACCCCTTCAAATTCTTTACTACCACCCCATTTTGGGATGTGTCTCAATTGTACAAATGTTGTTACTAATATTGATTTAAACCTTGACTCATGCCGTTTAATTTTTCAATGAAAAACTCTTAAATTTTTAAGTTTCTAAAAGATAAAATTTATTAAATT